GTTCGTGGTACATCTCTGTTTTCCTCTCGGGTAATTAGTGCTTTTCTTATTTCCTTCCTGCTGGTCTGCAGCACATCATGAACTACCGTAGCCTTTTGATTACTCTATGTGTTACGAATATTTCCTTCCAGCTGCCAGTCACCGTTTACTTCTGTTTAAGTTGTTTTGCCTCACGCAGAATGTTTTGTCTGCGTAAATGAAAGACCTCAGCATCTGCTTTCCTTTTTCCCAGCGTTCTCCACAAAACGCAGAGCTCTCATTCCAGAAGTTCTCAGGGCTTCTCCAAGTGCTTGCCGCTTTCTAGGGGCCCTTGAGGCTGTCTTGCTGTCATGTTGTCTGTCTCTCTCCGGTTCCTTTTGTGCTCTGAAGATTTGCTGCCCTGCCCCCGCTGGTGGCTGGCACTCCCTTCCTTGCATGTGCTGCGTTCCTACTATCCTGCTCCAGTGATGAATTGCTGCTTCTTACCCCTCATGGGCTGGAAAGCCAGATAGCACAGCTTGCCAGTATTGTGGCAAAATCATCTGAGCCAGGCTTAGAGTGCCATGTCTTGGCCTCAGCCTTTCGGACGTCAGTTGGGGCTGCACAGGGACCATGATCTGGTTGACTGAGCTGAGTGGTGATTTCCAGAGGAAGAAGTGCCTCGTAGGTAGGTTTGTATCCTGTAGGAGAGCAGCAGGTGGGTGGACCCTCTGCTCTGAGCCCAGGGCTGCTCCCAGCCTCCGCTATTGGCTTAGGGGTGGTGCCTTGTGTGACTGAACCAGGTGTGTCATTGTATGATCTTGCGTCTCCTTCTCCTTAGTGTCATCTCACCACAGCTGTGAATGAGGATTGAGGAAGGACAGAGAGAGGTAGGAAGGGGGAGGGGAAGAAGGATAAAGTCAGCAAACATTGACAACTGTTTCGCTCATGAATGTCCTTGATGAAACAGGAAAAATCATGCACTCTGTGAAACCCTGGCCTGGAGAGTGCGTGCACCCTCTGCGGCCCATGCATCCCAGCAGTGGTCTCTGGAAAGCAAACCTGTGGCTGTTTGGGCCCTGAACTGATCCAGCTGTTTTTTTCATGCAGAAGCATCAAACTATGGCTATTCAAACTTGAATATTTGGCATGAATCTTCTCTGAAAATTAAATAAATCAGATGATCCTCTTACTCAGGGAAAACAACTGACAGCACATATTATGAATGGTAAAACCCAACTTTTACCATTCTGAATCTTCACAAACTTTCATCCACATTGTGGTCATGACCAGTCTATGGATATTTCTGATGAAATCTGTGTTGATACTAACAAATGAGACTTTTGTGTTGAGCAGTGTAATATATCAACATTTATAAGACCTGTATAATGTGGTAAAGTAATAACTTCCTAAATGACTAATACATGGCATATAAAATCATATGGATAAAAGATCTTCCGAAAGATTTAAACCATTCTGTTTATATAACAGTATAAAAAATTCATTGGTATAGTTTTGGGTTTTATATTACCCCATCCCCTTTTGCCTCTAACTTTTAAAAAACTACTATTTGTTGGGCTTGGAAAAGTACCAAAGAAAAATATCTACAATAAGCTGAAAAAGTTGTTTCTTTTCCAATTACTATGTGAAGCCATATTTTCCTCATGTATCTCAACTAAGACAACATACAGTATTGCAGCACTTTGAATGTACAGCATATGTTAGAATCTGCTTATCCACTGTCAAGCAGGGCATTAAAGGAATTTGAAAAAAATGCTGAACAATAATTGACAAAATGACTGGGCATAGTGGCCGAGGAATGAGGATTGCCACAAATTTAAGGTCAGCCTGGGCTACAAAGTGACCCAAGGTTAGCCTGAAACATAGCCTGTTTCAGAAAAAAAGATTGACAAAATGCAGAGAGAGAGAGAGAGAGAGAGAGAGAGAGAGAGAGACAGAGACAGAGACAGAGACAGAGAGACAGAGAGAGACAGAGAGAGAGAGAGGGAGAGAGAGAGACAGAGAGAGAAATTTAGCTCACAAGTAGTACTTAAGGAGAGACCTTGCACCAAGAATGGCTACTGTCTTTCCTACCATTCAACCCTGTACTGACATTCCTCCTTTAACACCTAATGACAGTTTGGACTTATGACCAACGCATGCTGTCTGGACTTTCTACCTGCCACTTGGATTGATAACGCAGGAATATAAATAGCAGCGTGGCCTTAGGATGTCTTCTTCTATGGTGCAATGCTGTAATTTCTGCTGATTGTGTATACAGCACAGTACTGTAGCTTTATGTTCTCTTACATAGCATGTACTGCATGTAAGGGTTATGCAAATAAAGCAAAGTCATCAAGCTGCAGTTTCCTTTGACCATTCCTTTGTTCTGCATATTGTTATATATATATTAGTTATAACATTATATATATTATAAAATTATTGTTATATATATAACATTATGTTTATATATATTAGTTATAACATATTAGTTATTATATATATTAGTTAAAACATATATTAGTTATAACATTATATATTAGTTAAAAGAAAAAATATCTTTATTTTTAAATTGTGTGACAGTACACTTGCAAGAGCCCTGTGAGTCAGTGATAAAATTAACTGGAACGGTAATTCAGTGGAGCAGCACAATGCAGTGTTAATACACAACAATTAGTAGCCTTGGATAGTGAACTGAGTATAGTCGTGTCAAAACCCCATTTACAGTAAGATTACATACTTAGAAATAATTATTAAGTATAAAAGTGCAAGTATATGTGAGAACCATTTAAAATGCTCCTGAAAGACACAAAGGTAGAACTAAGCAAATGAGAAAGCATCTCCTGCACTCATGCAGGAAGCTTCCACATGATGCAGGGGTTGGTTTTCCAGAAGTTAAACTGCATATTTAATGCAAACCTAATAAAAAAAACTCACTGAGCCATTTTATGGAGTTGGGTAAGTTGATAGTCAAAGTTCATGTGGAAAAATATACTTTCAAAAATAGCCAAGATAATACTGGAAAAGAAAACTACCAAGGAAGTCTTATCAGATGTTAAGACATACAATAAAGCTTCTATAACTGAAACAGTGTGGCATTAGTGTTAGAATAGACTGTTACATGGAAGAATAGAAGAAAGTTCAAAGTCAGACCTGGCCATATATAAAAGGTTATTATGGAATAAGGGTAGCTTCTAAGAGCACAGGTTTTAAAGGTCTGTAGAACAACTGAAGAGCCACTTGGAAAGAGAGATAATTAGTTGTACACCTCATACATTGCAGAAAAGTAGCTCTGCCTGGATTAGGGATCTAAATGTAAAAATGAAACTAAAAGTACAGAGAGAAAGGAGGGTGAAATTCATTTTAAATTCTGTGTGAAGAAATGACTTGACCTATGGCTCAGACTCCTGAGATAATTAAAAAAAGATTGATAAGTGTGACTACATAAAAATTTAAAATGTTTTCAGTGTAAGTCAAAAGATAGAACCACTGGAGAACTTGTTCTTGACATACACCACAAAGGCTTATATCCCTAATGTTCAGGGAACTCTGAAAAATTAAGAGATCCCACAAGAAAAATGGGGAAGAAATATGAGGAGACAGTTCACTAAAAAGCAAGATAGAGAGGGGGTCCTCCATCATGAAATAAGGTTCAAATGCACCATCACTAGAGAAATGCAAATGAAGACGACATTAAGATGTATTTTTTCACCTGCTGGACTGACACATGTTAATACATAATGGGACAGCACATTCTGTTGACCATGGAGAAACAGACCTCTTGTGGGCTGCTGGGAGAAGTGCAAATTGGTGCAACCCTTCTGGGGGGAAATTTGACAAAGCAAAGCTACATCTGTGCCTACTTTTTGACCCAGCAGCCCCACTGCTAGGGATCCATCCTGAAAACAGCACTCAGTGGTAAGAAATTGCACATGATCAGGGTTAACTGTGGCCACACGGCTTCCGATTGCAGAATACAGGGCACACCTGTGTGTCTGTACACACGAGAAGGGGACTAAACACATTCCTCATCTGTGCCTAGCTGAGCCCTGTACAGTTCTGGGAGGAAACAAGAAAGAGGAAGCTCTGTCCACAAATATGGAGGAATTCTAGGACGTGCTGTGAAGTGCAGGCAGCAAAGCCCATGAGCATGCATTGTACACTGCTCTTTAAGGAAGAAAGAAGGGGATTGAAGAAAGCACACATCCGTCCACATTTGTTCAAAAGAAATACAGCAAAGGTCAAACAGAAACTAAAGAGACTGTTCACCTCTCCCCTAGGGGTGAACAGAAGGGGGTATGGCTAGGGGCTCTCAGAACCATCCCCTCATCACACTAAACCCACTAAAGTGACACCTGATCTGGTGAGGAAGCACCAGTGGTATCAGGCAAAGCAGAAGACGATTCCTGCAATGGCACTGGTCCTGTAGATAGGAAACCAGAATGTTTGTTTCCCTGCAGTAGTTCTGATCACCTGCAGTGTCCGTGAGCCCTGTGCTCTGAAAACTGGTGTTAGACCTTTCCTGGATCTAACAGAAGACTTTTGTTACCGGTGAGCAGAGTTGTGCTACCGAGTTCCTTCCTGTCCAAAGCACTGGGCATGGTGCTTCCCAGTGGTGTCCCCTTCCTTGCCCATAAATCCTGACTTTCCTCCCCAGAGGGAGCATGTGCACTTTCCTAGCAAGTTAAGAACCTCAGCGTCAGTGTTTTGCTTTTGCTTTTGCTTCTGATGGTTTGTGATTCTTTGTCAAGATCAAGTGAGATATTCCGATGGTCTGGAATCCCCATCTAGACTTCTCAAATTTCTTTCCTTTATGTTTTGGAAAAATTGTGCAAGTGCAGATGAATAATTTGCATTTGTCTTCCTCACTTTCTCTGCATCACCCACAGCTGCAGATGTGATAATGTACGCAGTCACATGTTGCCAGGTAGAACGGCCAGCCTGGGCCCATGTTATCAACTGACAGCCTGACCATAGTCATGGGCCCTTCCCTCCCTCTTTGGCCCGGGCCATGCTGATGGTGCTGGCCTCTCTCCTTTCAGGAATGACGATACCTGAGGAAGACGCTGATGTGGGACAAGGCAGTAAATATTGCCTGGTGGCCATCGGGAGACTCCAGGTGAGAGAAAGGCACAGTCTTTTCCGTCACTGATGAGGCTTCTGAATGCAAGGACCAAGAGATGGGGGACTGGGCGTCATCTCAGAGCTTTGGTGCTCAGGGTTGGTGGTTTGGCATCTCACTTGGGGTGAGGCTGAGGCCAAGTGTGGCAAGGGAAGAAGGCGAGTTGCAGCGGGAGCTCTGTTGGTCACTTCCATCTCATTGGTCACTGCAGCGAGCCTAGTCTGCATCTGTCCCCAATTAACCCTCCTCTGTGTCCCCAGGACCTGGGCAGAGGTCCAAGGTCATCTTTCCAACCTCACAGCCTGCTTCCTGTCTTCACCACATCCTGTTCCTACACTATACCCTCCTTACCATGCACCTGCCGCCTACCTCCTGTCAAGATCCCTGTCCCCTAGTGCCCATGAGCCCGTTTTGCTGCCTGCTATGTCTGTTCCCTCCTTCTGGAGAATCTTCTCCTTGTTCTTCTCGCTCTACAAGGATCCACTTAGGTGACTCCTGGCCTTGTTGTCAGAGCCAGTCGCTCTCCTAACCCAGTATTCAGCCGTGGCTGCCAGGATCACCTTTCTATAGTCTCTCTTGCTATAGTCAGTCAAGTGTGTGCTCACCCTGCAGGGTCCTCAGGCAGGGAACATGTCATTGCACCTTGTAACAATCAGATAATGCTCCCTGTCTGATAAACGCAGGAATCGCTGAGTCACTAGGCCATTCACAGTGGATGTGGATGATGACGCTGATCTTTCCTGTCCCTGGTTTCCAGATAGATGAGCAGGTAGTCTCACTCATATCCAGCAAACACTGGTTGTTTGCACAAACCGTTTCCTCTCCAAAGGAAATCATTTCTCTGGGTTCATTTGCCATTTAGTAGTGGAAAAGGCAGGAGAGGAAAGGGCATCACTACCTATTGATTTGTGGCACCTGCTGTGCCACAAATGGCTCCAGGATTCCCAGCACCACCTCTGTCCAGCCTCACCACCCTGTGAGGTTATAGGTGCTGTTATCACATTGGTGGTGAAGGATGCTGAGGCTCAGAAATGCAAGGAAAGTGATCCATTGAGCATGATGCTGTTGGTATCAGTGACATGAAAGGCTGTGTGGAGCAAATCAACATCCCTGGGGATCCTCCCTCTCTGCCTTGGTCAGTGCCCCTCAGCTGGGCTGTCCCTGTTGTCACTTCCCCTCTGCCTCTGTCAGTGCCAATCAGCCAGGCTGTCCTGTTTCAGGTGACCAGCTCCCCTGTGTGCATGGACATGAATGGGATGTCGGTACCCACAGAGTTCCTGTCGCGGCACAACTCCGACGGGATCATCACGTTCGTGGACCCAAGGTGCATCAGTGTGATCGGCTACCAGCCCCAGGTCAGGAGCCAGCCGTGAGCTCGTGCACTGATGGAGACACAGCTCTGCCTCAGACATGTCTGTGTCCTTTGTTCAAGATAGACACGGTGACACTGTGGAAGCTGCCTGGACAGGTTCATTGTAAAGCCGTCCTGCAGAGTTCTGCTCTCAGCTGATTTTTCAAACCAGAGTTCAGATCAGTCTGATTATAAAGTTTATTAGCAGGAAAGCATCTGCAAAGCCTTCTACAGATGCCACCTAATTTTGCTAATCTCTTCAGGAAACCTTCATAACCTGGGCACATTTTCAGGCCTTTGTTCTAGATTCATTTTTAAAACACAGGACATAAGAAACACAAGAGGGCAGTTGTAAGTGTCCCAGGTCAGGACCAGAGTCACTCCACACAGTGTGAACTGTGCTCTGGACCTGAAGGGATCCAGCTAGAAAAGAGTGCTTAATAATGAGCATATACAGACTATGGAGTGGTTTTATGTTATTAACTTTTTAAAGTATACTAGGGTATGTTGTGGTTTTGCGAGATAATTTTTATGATACGTGCTCAGATGACGTCTGCAGCTTCCTGTGATGCTTGGCGGGAAGTTGTTAGCTATGAATGTGTGTAGGTACGTGTACATGAAGAAAAAGGAAGAAATTTTAAAAGTGGCAAGATATTGACAATGCTAAATCTAAAGAATAGACAGGTGTTTACTATTCTTATAACCTTTAAATAGATTTAAATTTCTTCCAAAATAAGATATTTTTTTTTGGTACTGTTGAGACAGGGTCTCACTGTGTAGCCCCAGACTGGCCTCCAACTTTCCATGAGCCTCCTGAGTGCTAGAATTATAGGCATGCACCACCACACCCGAGCAAAAATAATTTTTAAAATGTCCGTCATTGTTCAGAAGAACTAACTTTGGGATAGTGTGTTTTAATTACACATATATATTTTTTTGACAGTGCTGAGGATGGAACACGCTGGGCAGGTGCTCTGCCTCTGGGCTGTGCCACAGCCTCTCGTGCATATTTTATAACTATAAATAGGCCAAAGCAGAAATGTTAGAACTTCATATAGTTCTGCATCTCTAGATCCATGAAAACTTTGAGATTCTTATATGCCATAAGGAGAAGCGATTTGTTCCCAGTTCCACCATAACCTCTAGTGGAAGGGTTTCCAGACAAAGCCTTTTATTTCCCCCACCCTGGATGAGCCAATAAGACTTCGCACCACAGCTGGCTCAGCTCCGGTGTAGACAGCATGGGTTCTATCTAGCAGTCAGCTGATGTCCCTTAAGGCCCTTCCAATCGCACCAGGTTCCTAGGACATGTGTGAAGTTGCCTTTGCCTCTGATGGTTTACCAACTGTGTCCTGCTTTGTGGTGAAACACACTTTCATCTGGGGTCAAGACTGGGTTCTTTAAATAAAACAGGCATGTGAAGGTACAGAACAGGCAGGCTTCTAGAACGGTGGTTTCACAGTAAACTCATTTCCTTGGCCACCAGACACTTATGGCTGCCATATTTAAACAATTTCAGTTTTCAAAGGCAGCACATCTGTTCACTTCTTGTTTACTTTTGATGTTTATTAAAATATGTTGACCACAATTTGCTTCTCTAAGGCAAAAAGGAGCAAAATTTCCCTCTAGAAGATACTGATCTAAACATTAGCAAAATTAGAAATTGATATGTAATGTACCAGAAGCACTGAGAGTGAATTCCAAGAGGTTGGCTTTGTAGTGGCATTCACTTCTTTAAACATCCAGGGTGAGGCAGGCCAAAGGAGATGAGTTAAAGGAGCTGGAATAAATACCTTTGTCTATCAGTGGATGGATAAAGAATCAAACATGGAATTCAGAAGCTAGGCTGTGTGGCTGGGAGGCTGGGAAGTCAGTGAAACCTTGTCTCAAAAAAATAAAATGGGGGGATGCACTGCAGTAGAGAGTGCTTGCTTAGCATGCATGAGAGCTTGGGTTGGTCTTCAGAAGTGAGAAAAAAAAAGGAGAGAATGGGGGAGAGGGAGGGAGGGAGGAAGAGAGGGATAGGGAAGGAGGGAGAGAGGGAGAGAAAAGAGGGAGATGGAACGAGGGAGAAAGAGGAAGAGAGAGGGAGAGAGAGAAAGAGAGAGAGAGAGAGACCCCTGGGGGTTTAGCTCAGTGGCACAAGTGCCTGCCTGGCAAGTGTGAGGTCATGAGTTTGATCCCTGGTACCAATAAATAAATAAATAAATAAGGAGGGAGGGAAGAAAGAGAGGGAGAGGCAATGAATGGATTTTGGATCATTAAAGCTTGCTCTTTTGTTTAGGACCTTCTGGGAAAGGACATTTTGGAATTCTGCCACCCAGAGGATCAGAGTCACCTGCGGGAGAGCTTTCAGCAGGTACGGTGAGGTCTGTGTACAGTGACACACAACTGGCCCGTGTGTGGAGATGACCAGTGGGCCACGTGTCCTACTGTGTGCCAGGCAGGCTACAAGCGCCTGCCTAAAGGGTCAGCCAGGCCCCTTCTGGGAAGCATGGAGGCTGATGGGAAGACGGACCGTGAGGAAGTCATTTTGAGGAGAGAGTTCCAGGGCTTCTGAGGAAAATACCACAGAGCAGGGAACACAGAGAGGCTGCGCCTGGCCAGAGAGCAGTTAGGGTGACCTAAGGGTGGCCACACAGGAGCTGAGAGAACATTTCAGCCTGAGGGGCAACTCCAGAGACACAGTAGAGTGGCCTGCCTGTAGGGAAGACATGGCAGGCCCTGACAGATGCCCAGGAAGGCCGAGGGTGGAAGCCTTGGAGCTACACTGAGGAGCTCCAGTCCTCGAGGCTCCGTGGAGGCAGATTGGGCTTCCTGGAGGACTGAGGCAGGGCAGGAGCTTAGGAGCAAGTTGAGCAGCCCTGCTGTGTGAAGGGAAGATGTGAGACGCAGCTGCAAGCGAAGACCAGCTGGGTGCTCTTGCACTTGTCCAGTGAGAGGCAGTGTGGAAGTGGGCAGGAACCCTGAGAACCGACATGTGACAGTGAGGAGACCAGGCTTGTTAGTGCTGATGCTTTGGAAGGAGAGGAGAGGAGGGATCGGGGTGCCCCTTGACGTGTGACACAGTGACCACCCTGACAATGCCTTCGTGCACACGGACTCGGAACCTGCTCCGTGATACCGAACACCTGCTGTGGGCCAGGTACATGCAGGTGGTGCATACTGGTTGCAACAGCCTGGGAGGTGGTCACTGTTGTCCTCTTCTTCCGGTGAGTCAAGTCGGTGTGGCAGACAGAGTACTTCCGCTGTGCTCAGACAGAGCACTCCCACCATCAGTAGACAGGGCGCTCCCACTTCGGACTGTGCTGGGCGAGCTCCTGGCATCTTCTCCCAACATATTCTGTGCTCTCTTCTGCGGCAGGACCAGTCTGACTTTCTCCTTGCTGCTCAGTTTCTCTGCAGGTACCTCCTCCACCTCTTCTGATGGGGATGCCCTTAGCTGCCTTCTTCTCTCTCTCCCCTAACCCCCAATAATTCTCCCCTCTCCCCCAACCTATTTTCCTGGGGCATCTTGTACAGTGGCCAAACCCACCCAACTGTCCTGGCTCCACCCCTTCTCCAAGCAAGCCATCTCCTCAGTCTCCCCTGGGTCCCTCACGGTCCACAGTCCGGGAGTGCCTCCTCCTCAGCTCCCCTGCCTCCTGAGCTCGTCTGTTCTGGGAGATACCTGTCTCTCAGCCATCCAGCTCCTCGGGCCCCAGAGGACTTCTAGGACTCTGCCCTCCTCTGCCTTTTTCCCAGTCACGGGTGCTGACCACCCCTCCCACAGGACCTTATCAGTCCCTCCAAAGCTGTTCTTTCTTTCAGTCCAAGCCTTTCTGAAACTGTAACTGCCTAGTTATTTTTCTTGTTGCTGACACAAAATACCCAGCACCCAAAGTTAAGGGAAGAAAGGTTTATTTAGCTCACAGTTTGTAGGGGTTTCAGTTCATAGTCAGCTGGCTCGAAGGCGGGGTGGCATCACAGAGGAGAAACAGTTAATGGTGGACAGAAAGAAGGTAGTAAAGCAGGCAAGCAAGGGGACTGACCAGCATCTTTCTGCCCGATTTATACTCTTATCTAGGCCACCAGGATTAGGATGGTGCCAAACCAATCAGTGGACTCATTTAATAACCACACAGCCTTAATCTCACTGATGGAAACCCTACATTCAGCCACCTCTGAAAAGCCCCCAGAACCGCGTGGGTCCTGTCTTCACCACCCCTCTGGAGTGGAGACTGGGCAGACTCAGGGCAGTGCAGTTACCTCATGTCCACCGTTGAGTGGCCCAGTCTGCACAAGGGTGGCTTGGTTTTTTGTGCTACTGCAGTTGAACTCAGGCCTATGTGCTGAGTTACAGCCTGACTCCCCACCCCGCACCATTTTTGAGACAGCAAGTAGCTAAATTATTCATATTGGGCTCAAACTTGCCACCCTCTTGCCTCAGCCTCCCAGGATGCTGCTAATACAGGTGTGCATCACCACACCTAGATTAAGGGCAGTTTTTAATAAAGCTATCTGATGGTCGGCGGCACAGCATGAAGTCCTGAGTTTGATTCCCAGTACCAAATAAAATAAATAAATAAAATAAAATATAAAATCACCTGCGTGGCCCAGGGAACTTTCATTTGAGGAAAGTGTGAAATTACATGGCTAACGCTATGAGAGTGTGTTCTCATGCCCCGTATTTGTGAAGTATCTGGGAATGATGACCATTGGCCTCTTACCTGACTTGTTTGGACTTGGTTTGGTTCACTTAGTTTTTCTGGGCACATGAAAATGGTCTCTGACAGTGAGGGGCCTCCATCTGCCAGCAGCCGGCCGGTGATAGAGTTTGTGCCGGGGCCCAGGCCCACCTCCCTCCAAAGATCCCCAGTACCTCCACACCCCTGACACAGCCTTTCCATTCAGTGCCACTTCTGAGATTTAAGGCTTTGTAAACAAAAAGAAAGAATTTAACATCTGCTCCCACCCTAGTAGCCAGTTTAAATTACTGGCTCTGCCGCAGCCACTTCATTCCTTGGGCAGGAGGGGAAGTGAGGCCATGACACCCTAGAGCTGGTGTCCCGACCCCGTCCCAGGGAGCAGGGGACAGTGGCCAAGCAGCCCCACGGATGTCCTGGAGCATGGCCAGCCTTGGCCCTGAGCTTGTGTTCCTTGGGATCTGGCCACCAGCAGCTGAGGTGGGGGACAAATGTTGATAAAGGGAAGTGGCTTGTTCTTGCAAAAGCACAGAGGGAGCTGTGTCAGCTAAGAGTCCACCTTGAACTCTGGATTTAAACAAAAGCAGTTAATGGTCCAGACAGGAGAGCTGTGGTGCATGATGGAATTTGTGAGGAATTTGAGTTTGGCGCAGTGACAGTGTGCAGACCCAGGGTCTGAGAAACTCACATCTGCTCTTAGATTCTCTGTCTGGGTCAGTTTACCAGCAGATCAAATGGAAGAACTGAGCATAGGGAAATTTAGGCAGGCTGCATTCCCACCCTTCCCTTTCTGCTTAAACACCTTCCAGAATGCCAGTGATGACGGTGATGGTGGTGAGATGGTGGGAAGATGATGAGAATGATGGAGATGGGATAATGGGGATGGGGGTGTAGTGGTGATGGTGATGATGGTGTTGATGGTGGTGTTAGTGGTGGTGATGGTGGCGATGATGGTGGTTGGTGATGGTGGTGTAAGTGGTGATGGTGATGATGATGGTGGTTTTGGTGATGATGATGATGATAATAGTGATGATGATAACATCATCATCACTTCTTTCCATGAAGAGCCAAGCTCAGCTGGGGTTTAGGCCTGACATTTGCATCCCCTGTGTTATAGGCACCAACCTGACCTGAGCATAGTCTCCAGGCCTAGACCATGTTCCCTGTGCAGTGTCACAGGTACAGTCCAGTCCTCTGTCACACGTCAGTTTTTCCATCCTAGAGAATTTGCTTCTGCTGTGCCTCCTACCATGAGCACCCTCCTGGCACACGTTCACTTGCCGATATCGGATGCATTCCCAGCTATGAGCAAACCCTCCCTCCCTCCCTCCCTCCAGGAACCGATTAAATTCCCTCCTGATAGCCCATGACACTTGGTCTTGGTTTGTGTAGTGGTATTTAGCAGATGCCTTGTGAGTTACAGTTAGCTGCACGTCTGTCCCATCCTTGCTAGGTGAGAAGCACTTTGGGGACAGATTGTACTTAGGCAGCAGGGACTTATGGAAAGGGTGCCAAGGTTGGTGGGTCTGGGACCCAGCATTGTGAGACCTTGGGAAGGGTGTCTGCTTTGGAGCCCCCTTTCCAGATACACAAAACACAGTTCTGAGGATTATGTGACGTGATTGCCTTTACCCCTGCTGGGTGCAGGTCTGGCAACTCCCGTCCTCAGGCCTGGCCTTGCATATAGAAATGCCCTCCCTGTGCTTGCAGAGGGAGTTAAAAATCTAGGGTATGCAGGACAAGGGGACATGACTCTCCAGGTGTGGACATCAGCGCCTTGTGCCCTTGTATTTGGGTGCAGCCACAGAGGAGTCGCCGAGAGAGTCCCCTATTGTGGAGACCTGGCAGACACATACCCTTGGCCTCTGGACCCTGTGAGGGAAGAACTGAGGTCCTATTGGGGGACTCACAGCATCCTCCGAAGTGGCAAGAAAGGCTCACCCCCTGGAACTCGGGTGGCTGCCTGTCATTGTGGTTTCCCAGCAGGAAGCCTTGCATGCTCCCCAGGGAGTGTGTTGGGAGGATGGGACCTCCCAGGCTGGCTCAGGAAGTGCTGTAGGTGCCTGCTCCTTGCTGAGCTGTGGGCTGGGTGGGGCATGCTCAGATGACCGATGGGCATCTATGTGGATGGAGGCAGCAGCTGGGGCAAGGAGCAAAGCATAACACAGGCTAGGAATGGGAGAGTTAGGCCTCGTAGCCCCAAGATCCAGGCGCCCCATTTTTATCAGTGAGGGAACTGTGAACTCCCAGGAAGCCTAGGGATTATAGGCCTGACTGGGCCCAGGCTTGGGGCTCACAGGCCTGCATGGAGCATCTTAGGCCTAGACCGCCTATGAATGTTTCAGCTGTGCAGTTTGCACTCACTTGTAGGTCCGCATTTTTGCCTGTCTCTACTACTTGATGGCGCTGTCTGTGTCTTAACAGCAGAAGAGCAGGCTGTGTATGTAGCCAGAGAGACAGGCTTGTGATGTAGAAGTAAGATCCTGGTTCCTGTACCAGCTTTTCCACCAAAGCTATGTGATCTTGGGCAACTTACTTAATTTCTCTGAGTTCGGAATTGTCATCTGTAAAGCCCACCTCTCCTAACCCTTGTGAGGATGTGCATGGGGCAAAGGCCTTGAAAGCATGGTGGAAGCCCTCCCCCAGCACAAAGGAGGCACAGATACCCACCTACAAATAAATGATGCTTACAAATCTCCATTTCATGACCACTGCTCCAAGACAGTGTTTGGAATCCATTTGAGATTTTTTTCTGTGAGGTGTGAAGAAAGGAATCCTTGAGTACAATGTAACTGCATGCTCAGGTGAGGTGACAGAGACCAGCACTGTTCCCAGAGTAACATAGCAACCAAAGCACAAAGGAAAACACCGCTCTTACAGGGTTCTCCTGTCCTGATTTTGAAAGCAGAAGTGCAGGTCCTGCTGTTCCAGGGCAATGCTGCTTGGTTTCTCACACCATGGTGACAGTCCTGTCGCTTAGCACGCCTCCTCTCTCCCTCTCATGCCCTCTCCTGTCTTGCTGTCTTGTCACCACAGCACCCCTACGCTGAGATCCGCTGGCCCTGCAGCCTGGCCCTGCCGGCGCCTCTCCTGCCTCTATGGAGCACCTCCCTCCGTGACTTCCTTCCCCAAATGTTTTCTCAGGTGGTGAAGCTGAAGGGCCAAGTGCTGTCCGTCATGTATCGATTTCGCACCAAGAACCGGGAGTGGGTGCTGATCCGCACCAGCAGCTTCACCTTCCAGAACCCCTACTCTGATGAGATTGAGTACATCATCTGCACCAACACCAACGTCAAGTACGTGCCGCTCCCACCCCGCATCCACCCTCCCGCGGCATGTGCACAGTGGGCGATCGTGTCCAGGGCTATCTCTACCCGAAGCCTCTGCCTGCAGCTGGAAGGCCCGACCAGGACTGGGGAGTAAGAGGGGGTGTATCCCTCCTGGTTCAGAAGAGCCTGTGGGACTGTCTGGGCCCAGAAATGTTGCCAGGCTTCCCTGGTCATTTCTCCCAAGCTCAATGCCCTGCAGAATGGGGCTCTGTGGGGTGCATTTCTCTGTTCCCTGTGTCTAGTTCCTTGATCCTGCTGCAGCCAGGGAAGAGGGTGTGGGCCTGAGCATTGGGTAGCTGTGGGCTGTGTCTCTGGGTACTTAGTGCCCATGAGTGCCAGGCAGATCCGTGCTCTGGTTTGACCCTGCACTTGTTAGCTGTGTGACTGAGCCAGCCACGACCTCTCTTGACCTTTACATCTGGCTCAGTGAATCGGGGGATGTCCCTGTCTGTGAGGTCTCCATGAGGACAACAGGGCCAGGCTCAGAGCTGTGGTCGGTCCTGCATACAGTGTTGGCATGAGGCATGACCAGGTAGCCCTGGCTGCTCTCTGATCTCAGGGATGTATACACACCTGGGTGCAGGATGGAGCAGCCTTTGGCTTCCACCTTCTGGGTGTTTGAACGTAGCACACACTCCACAGGACCACACTTTCACATGCCAGTGTGCAGGGCTCAGCTGGGGGCTGGTGGCTGAGGGTGTGGTTCAGCTATGAGAAGTTCACCGGGACGCAACCTGCTGTATGTCACAGAGCAGCTGCACAGCCATGAAACCAATACAAAGACATGTGAGCAGAAGGATGTCTTCACGTGTGGCGTGTAAGGCTGCCGGGGTGACAGACAGGCTGAGAACTGTCCTTGTGTCTCCTGCTATGGTCAGTGTCTGCCTTGCCTCCATTTTCCTAGGTTCCAAACCCAGTCTGGCCCTGCTCTGAGGCCACCACTTCTTCCCACTGCAGGCCCAGAGCACTGCCTCTTTCTGTCCACCACTGCTGTCTCTGAGCCCTGTGAATGCAGGAGCCCCGTCTGGGCTAGTGATGCAGCTTCCTACTCCAGGCAGCAGCAGCTCTGCATCCTCAGCCTTGCCCAGCTCCTGGGCACAAGCACAGGATGGGGGATGGGTCCGCAGGAGAACCCTCTGAAAGCAAGTGGCATGAGTCACAATCCCAGCTCCCACCCAGGCAAGTCGTCATTCTTCCCAGCCTCCATTGCCTCGTCTGTCCAGCAGGGACAATAGAACCTTCTCCCCTAAAACCCAAGGGACTAGAGCAGGTCCCGGGCCAGGGCTGCCTTTATAGTGTTCAAGTTAGCAGGAAAAGCTCTCTGTGGACAGTAGAGGGCAGTGATGGCCATGGATGTGAACAGGGCGTCCTTTCTGGAGTTCATGAAGCTGAACTTCCACAGTGGCAGACTTGAGAGGGAGAAGCCCTCTAGGAGCATACACCAGCTGTTGCACTCAGAAAGCAACCAAAGAAACTTCCTAGAGACCCTGAGTGTTGCCTGGCTAGTGTTTGTGCAAAGCTGCTGAAAAGACTTCTTTCTTAACTCTGATTCTTTAGTGTTCCATCCATATAGAAAGGAGTCCAGGAAATACAAGCTTGCACATCTTGTTACCCCACTGGGTCTCAGGGCCTGGGGGCTCACTCCTGGGGTTTGACACTGTTTCCTGAGACCAATTGGGACTCCGAGGCTACACCCTGGTGTTTTCACACTCACTGCCTGCCAGCCATGAGCAGACCCAGACACATCTCTGTGCATGTCCTGGGACCAAGCCCTCATTCCTGTGCTCATAGGTTTTCATGAGCACAGTGCTTTTTGTGCAGGTGTGTGTGTGTGTGCGCGCATGTGTACACATGTGTAAAGCACCATCAGGGTCAGAGTCACATTCCAGTCTCTGAGCCAACTCACCATCACCATACTTAGTTTTGGTTGGTAGTGCTTTCCTGGTTAGCAGTAAACAGGAGGCCGAGAACAGGTGGGAAAATAGAATGAAAAGGAAGGGAAGGGCGATTCCTGGTCTCTGCAGTTTACAGCCTTATTAAAGGGCGGAGACACACGGTCACCAAGCCTGAGTTGTTCCAGAGCCCCAGGCTCCATTTGGAACTCTTCAGCATCCCTACCCCATCCCCAAGCCCAGTAGAAGCCTTTGTCATCTCACAGGTGACCACTGGCCCCTATGGCTCCTCTGCTTTCCTTCAGGCCCTCAAGAGTCCCAGAGAGCAAGTGCTGAAACACATAAAGGCCGTGTTCCCTGCCCCATCCCACAAATTCCAAACCCTTCCCCAGCCTCGGGAAGCACTGGCAGCCCCTCTGCCTGGGCCTGCATGCCCCAGCTGGGTTCTGGTTGCCTCTGATGTCCCCCTAAGAGGTTTCTTGCTCGCTTATGCAGGCTGAACGAACACCTCTGTCCAGGAAGTGTTGTGGGTCATTAGCAGCTTCACTAGCCCCAATACCTGGCTGGCAAGAAGCACGAGAAAGCTGCCTTTGGCATGTTCTCCCACTCAGCTCCCTCCTCTCCAAAACATGTGAGCTCCCTAAAGTTTGCTTTTATACATAGCTGAGGTGTCTGAGACGCCCTGCTGCCAGCGCAGAACTGAGAGATCCAGTGCATGCAGTGCCTCTTCGACATGTACTCAGCTGCAGGAGTGGAAGCACATGGTGGGGAGAGTGCAGATGTTGATGTCCACACCACAGGACCCACAGGACCGATGGGGTCCATACTGGGGACTTGCGAGTCACACCAAGACCTCACTTTCTCCTCCCCACAAAAGGTACTTCCCTCCCCTGCTTCAGGAGCTCAGAGAGGACCAGAACTGAAAGCAGATCCCAGCCTATTGCCAATGCCCTTAGCCACCTTGTGAACTGAGAAGCACATGTGCTTCCTCCCCAGGGTGTTGTTATCTGGGTGAGGGGAGAGTTTGTGCTTCCCTATCCCTGCAGCCTGGCCCTCAGAGCACAGCCCCACAGCCCCACAGCACCACAGCCCCACACGGCAGCCTGGCCCTCTGCTGGCTCCTGGGCTGGGGCTGGCACAGCAGGCAGGAGGGGCTCCTGTGGCCTGGAATAATGTTGTGTTGGAGGTTGGGCTTTGGGGAAAGGATAGAAGGTGTCTGCAGACTCCTGCTATGAGGAGAGGCTCACTACTTCATCCTAGGAAAATCCAAGGTAGAGGCTTTTGTTTCCCATCTTATGGTCCAAGATGCTCTCTGGTTACCTGAGGCTCTGGAAAGGGAGATAGGGAAAAGCAGTCCCCATCCCAACTGTGGGTTTTATCCTGGGCCAGAGCTGGTGGTTTCTATGAGGAGACAGGTCCCGAAAACAAGTTGCAGCAGGTGAAAAAATAAAAAATAAAAAACAAGAGAGACAAAGTTATGGGGTGGGCTGGGGCCTACAATCTCTAGGATCAAAGCCTCAATTATAATTTTCTCTGGCTTTTTATTCGATGCTTTTCTTTCTTTTTTTTTTTTTTTAAATTGGTACCGGGGGGTCGAACTCACGACCGAATGCTTGCAAAGCAGGCACTTATGCCGCTGAGCTAAATCCCCAGCCCCTCGATTCTTTTCTTAAGAGCAGAAGCGGGAAATGGGAGGGTAAAGTGCAGATAATAGAGAGTTTAATTGTTTAACTATCCCAGGGACCATCTCTGGCTATATCTGGCCTTCATGTTTACAGTTCTTTTGGACACATCTTAGCAAAGCATCTCTTGCTGTCCCAGCAGCATTCCACTGAGACTAAAGTTCTGCATTCATTACCTTAAACACAATGCATCTGTAAGACTTCCTCCAGCACAAACAATCATATGGCCTAGTTGAGCACAAAGTCCATGGGGCTGGCTCAGATTAAGCTAGTTTAAGTTAATCTATGACCCATACCGGTCAGCAGCCTGGTCCATAGCTGGACGGGAATCGGTGTGGACCTATGTGTCCCATGTTTCAGCTGTGTCACACAGGCTGTCATTTGTACTCTGGGTCTCCCTGTCTTTATGGGTTAAGCCTGACTATAGCAGAAATACGCCAGTCCACCAAAGCTCTGGGTATTCGCTTTATATTCCAATTTTAGTGGATCTTAGAATATCAGGTTTTTCTGAAACATTACTTGTAGTGCTCTTTACTGGCTGGTAGGACAAAGATGGCCTTTCTGCCTGGTGGGAAATTGAGAGCCCTTACACCCCATTCCACCCAGCAGGGGAGAAGACTGATTATATCCTGGGGAGAACCTGGGCTTAACTCTGCACCCAGCACTGTAGCCTCCCATCCTCTCCCCTGGAGGCCCAGCAGTTTGAGGGCAGAGATCTCGTGGGTTCTGAGCTGTCACTGTCTCCTGGGCCCAGTGAGGATGGAGGCTGGCAGGGACACTTCCCATGATGCACCGTGGGCTGCTGAGTGGGTGGCTGTCTAGGTGGGGTTCCTCACACACTGCACATGGGCCTCTCCTGGATTGGTTAGGATTCATGGAGGTCTGCCATTCCACCCACCAGAGGCTCTGAGTAGTAGGGTTTGCTGCCCCTTGGAAACAGCATCCTAGCAGAGTGGAGCCAGCATCAGAGCAGATCCCTGTTCGGTCCCCTGAGAGTCACCCACCAACCCTGTTGGCCACCTCACCACCACCAGTTTCCACTCGTTTGCATTGGAGCCAGCTTGAGTGACTACCAAAGGTGTGCAGTGTGAGGCTGTCTGAGTGCCTCCAGTTACAAGTGAGCCCTAGCTGGAGCCAGTTCCTTTCTTCAGCATTAAATCTAACTGCTTTTCTGAGTTTCATCTTACAAGGACTTCTTTATAGTATGGTATCTTTGAATTCTGCATAAAATGAAGTCATATATCAAAACATTTAAGTAGTTCAATGTGGTCATCTCAAGTTGAACTAGAGGGATCTGAGGCAGTAAAAATAAGTGGAAGTAGAAACCATTTGGGAGATCTGTTGGGTGTCACCCACTGGGATTTGGGGGCTGCCTTCCTGGCTCAGGCCTCTCCCTGCCTCCTCACACCTCTGTCTACTTCTCCTCCACAGGCAGCTGCAGCAGCAGCAGGCGGAGCTGGAGGTGCACCAAAGAGATGGGCTGTCCTCCTATGACTTATCTCAGGTGAGCTTCTGGAACATTCTGTCCTGCCTGGGACTGTCTCCTGCATGGAGCTTGTGCAGTTCACAAACTATTGCATCCGCAGGGCCTAAGGGCACATCACAGACATTCTCAGAGGCCAAGACAAGCAGAACCTACCACTGCCTGTGCCACTCACCATGGGTCTTGCATCTCCCCTGGTGCCCTTTGTGGTCACACTGTGTCTTCCCCTCTGCCTGCACTGTCTTTCCTGTCCTCCTCCCTTCATTCTCCCTTTTTTCTCTCTCTCCCCCTTTTTAAGACCCTGCTTCTGGAACTGGTTTACAGAGAAACTGGCACTGGTCAGTATTAGATAACCCTTTGCTGAATTATACTTTCCATTCCGTTTCTGATATTTAGAGTAAGCGGACCCTTTTCTATTCCTCTCTCTCTAGGAAGGTAACCGGTGTGACTCCTTGTTTTCCTTTGACAAGTGCACATCTCAGCCTGGCTGAGAAATAGCAGAGCCCCCACTTAGTAAAAACACCCAGGCTGGAAAGGCTGGCAGGCCCAGGGCGACTGTGCTGCCAAAGGAAAGTGGCGACTGCCTCACGCTCTGGTGATGTTGCTTTAATGTGCCAACAGGTGCCAGTCCCCAACCTACCTGCTGGTGTTCATGAGGCTGGGAAGTCGGTGGAAAAGGCAGACTCCATCTTCTCCCAGGAGAGAGACCCCCGGTTTGCTGAGATGTTTGCAGGAATCAGTGCTTGTGAGTTTCCAAGTGGCTCGGATGTGAGGGTGTGGGGTTTACAGCTGCTCTCCAGCCATCTGGAGAGCGCCACCATTAGTGGGCCTCCCCTGGAAGGGCAGTTGTGAGTCACCCCTGCAGGGTACAGGAAGAGTCCCGGGGCAGGAGGTCTCACAACGGGAGGATGGATTCTCCCCAGTTCTGACCACACTTCCTACTTCCTGGGGTGCTGGTGGCTCATCTGTGAAACTTGAGGGGTTGGGATAAAATAACTACTAATCCACTGTTGGTGTAGATTTATTAATGAGTCAAAGATGTGTCCCTATTTAAAAAAATCCTAACTTAATCTATGACAAAGGACCACATTTTAAAATAAAAATATGAAATAACAGGAAAACAACAGTGATCCACTCTCCTACCACGTAGATATAGTTATTTTTAACTTTCTAAAGTGGGTCTGTCTGTCTTTTTCTATGTATATTTTCTTTGTGTATATGAAATTGAGCTTGTCCTGTTGAAAAGCTTGTTTTTTTATGTGATAGTTTATTATGAAACTATCTGTAGAAAATTAAACCATCCTAAGCGTCTTTGTTACCAGCATAGAGTTCCAATGTGAGGATGAGCATAACTCTCAGCAGCTCCTCTGTGGCCGATGGTAGATTGTCCATCGGTGATCTTGGTATTTCTACAGAGGACTGGTGTTACCACGTGGAGCTGCCTCAGTCTCCTACCCAGAGCTCCACAGAGTTTGGCAAAATATAAAACATAGAAAGGTCTTTGCTGGTTCCAACATCAGAAAAAAAAATTCTATTTACATGTGGTCAAGGCATTTCTGTGAGATGCGTCCATAGGCAGGGCCAGTTGAAGAGAGAAAAGGAAGCACGAGAGACTGTGATTGGAGGAGACTGTGATAAGGCTTGAGGTGGCTGGGGTGAGGGAGGACACTCAGGCTGTTGGGCAGTAGAAGGGCACAGCCTGGACACACCTTTGTCTTCAAGTGCACACACTGGTGGGAGAGCAGAACCTGCATCCCATGTGGCTGGGACCCGAGACTCAGGAAGCAAGGGCAGTGCCAGTGCCACCTCTCTGAGGACAGGAAGAGACAGCACAGGAAACCAACACCAGGAAGCAGAACTCTCGGCACACCAGGGACTCTCACTGCCACTGGTCCCTGGCCACCCAGAGTGTGTTACCTCAGCAGCAGGAGGAGACAGGAGCACACCTAACATATCTGTGCTCCCCTGCGGTAAGCCACAGCGTCTCTAAGAACCCACCTGAAGTTTAACCTTATACACACATAGACATCGTCCCACAACAATCACAGAACATGAGGAGAAGAAGGAAAATGTAAAGAGTTCTCCTTTGAGAATGAATCTTAATAATAAAGAGGAGGAAGTTCAGAAAATCTCCAGCATTTCTCCCCTAGGAGACTCCAGAGACTGTATCCTGAGGGGGAGCTGGGGTGAAGCAGGCTAATACTGTACTACAGAAATCCAAGTCAGTGCATTTGGAAAGAAAACATGGATTTCCCCCCACATGGGAAATTTGGGCCTTCCAACTGTACGAGCTCCATGAATATCTCACTAAAAAGAAATTCACACTTCAACATAATCTATTGTATTATTCACTTTTTAAAAGTTTGATTCAAATAATGAAAATCTTGCAAACATCCACAAAGGGAAATCTTCAATTAGACTTCTTTTGGATACTAAATGTATCGAAAGAACTCAGAAAGAAGATACCCAATCCTTAGTTTTTCCATCAGCCAAACTGCTTTCTTATGCAGAAAGACATCTTCAGACTTGCACTGTCTACTCATCCTGTCTGAAAACGGCAGTCATAAAAAGTCGCGCTTTTTTCTGTGTGAATCAAAACGTACAGTGCAGGATAGAAGTGTTAGGTTGGGACGCAGTGGTGATGACAAATGAAATTAACAGCACCTAGAATTGTTAGATGCCGCCAAGATAAACAACAAAAATTGCAGTTTCAAATCAGTTCAGCAAAGATCCAGGTAGTTTTTTGGATTGAGGGTAGTAAACAGATAAGTTCCTTATCTCTGGCATTTGTGCAGAAATTCAGAGCCTCGTGTATATTTATACACAATTATTAAGGACAAAATTTTTTTAAAGAGGGATGCAGGCAGGAAGGAAAGAAACAGGCCTTACTTCCAAACTACTTCAAAAGAAATTTTTAGCAAGTTGTAAAATTCTCAGAAGGAAAATGAAGTGATACAGCAAGAAAGCAAGGATACCAAGCAGGATGAAGTGAACCAATGCCAGGGACTGCTGATTGGCCGCTCCTGCAGAGTGTGCGGAGCCAGAGAAACAAAGTGGGCTGCAGAGATGCTTTGCAAACCCAGAGAGGAGGAAAGGAGTCTTCACAGCACCTCGCAGGCCAAGAGGCTGGGCCGTGCAGGTGGAAGATGCAACCAAAGATACGAGGATGTAAATATTGTGAATCCTGGAATGTAGAAAAATCAAAACCATGACAAACACAGGAACATACTGATAAAGCTAAGTTGTAGTGGGCTATCTCTGTGTGCCTTTCTTCATATTTAAAAAACAAGTAGATTGAAATAATAAAGATATAAAGATTGAATAATATAGTCAAAGATACACACATACACATGTATATAAAGAGTAGTTACAGAAACAACTTTTGTTATTTATCCAGACTACCAAGAATCTCAAAACAGAAAAAAAGAAGGGGCTTGCATTTAGTGTATGGAGAGCAAAGGGTCTACGTCAGCCTTTCGCCTGCAGGTTTCAGCCTTGTCTGTCCTCTTCTGCTCTTGCTCCTTAACCCAAAGCTGAAGGCCTAGGACAGGCCCCAGGGGCCTGCGAATCTCTGTCCCTAAGGACTTGCACTGCCACATGGCATCACAGAGCAAAGCCAAGTGGCTCCATAGCTTCTCTGCACTGTGCTGTCACAGAGGCTGTGCACATCAGGGAGCCCTGGCTCAGGCTGGCCCCACAGCCCCAAGCCCCTGCCCCACTGCTGCAGCACCCCCGGGACAGCAGGTGCATGAGGGTCTGCAGGCAGAGAGTGCCCTGCAGCTGAGTCCTGTTTCCAGTTTCCCACTGCAGACAGAATGTGGTGGGGATTAGAGGCACAGGCGTTCTGAGATTTGGGGCAGAGGGGAGCTGAGTCCCTGAGTTTGGGCACACAGGAGTGAGCAGGGATATGTTGTAGTTAAGGGCTGCCTTCTGGCCCATGTCTGTCTTTTCTCACACATGTTTCTCACTGGGCGATGAGTGACATTAGATGCCCGTGGCTCTGTCACCACACAGTTCTAAGCACTCAACTCTGCTCACACCCTGGGTTTCCACTACAGCCCTGTGGGGAAAGGCTCTGATTACGCCTTCTTTCAGGTGGGAAAACTGAAGCAGCAGGTTAAAGGCATATCTGTGGAGTGGGGCGCCTTCATCCACAGGCAGAGTTTGGTCCACGGTGGACCTGAGGGTTGTCCTGGGCGCTTTGGACTGCTGCCCTGTGTCCTCACCTGTCAACCCACACCTGCTGTGCATACCTGTGGCCGGAAAGGGGCATGAGGTGAGGTCCCTTCACAGCCTGTGATCTTCCCAGCCTCACAGAGGGCCTGGCTTGCAGGTGACAGTGGCCACCCCAGAAGGCAGGAGCAGCAGCCTGGGGCTCCCTCCTGCCCTGCATGGCCCGTCTGGGCCTGTGCTGAGCGGGCCTCCTGTGCCCTGTCAGCAGGGGCCCTCATGGGTGACAATCACTCTGGTTTTCCTAGCGGAGAAGAAGATGATAAGCTCTGCTTCGGCAGCAGGAGCCCAGCAGATCTACTCCCAGGGAAGCCCATTCCCTCCCGGGCACTCTGGAAAGGCCTTCAGGTACGTGGGGAAGGGGTTCAGGGCAGACCTGGGTCTCAGAACTCAGCTCTGCAGAGTGCACATGCCAGGCAGCCCCAGGTCAGGTCAAGGGTCCTGGAGTGCTGGCTGCGGGGAAGGAAGGGGTTGGTCTCTGGCCATGGTGGTCGGGGCAGCTCCGGGGACAGCTAACAAGGGGTCAGGAGTCACCTCATTCCCTGGCTCTTAGGGCTGGGTAGAGAAATGCTGTTAGGGTTAAAGTCCACCAGATGTGCAGAATTTGTAAATCTAAGGGCCTGAGTTGGTTCAGGATCAGGAGAGGCGTGGTGTAATGGGTTCTAATGTCTGTCTCAGTTATGGGTAGCCTGAGCTCCCAGAATGGCATTAATGGCTTCCCTAAGTGTGTCTTTACTCTGAGAAACATTAAAACACAGTAAAATTGCACCCAATCACCTGCATGTGTCTGTCACCTGCCCCTCTTTCAGAATCCAGCTGAACACCCATCTGCATTAAGATCCGCTGATATTGGGCCCTCACACCCACAAGGTTCTTTCCCCACAGTGCCTGGTCCTGTGCACTGGGCCAGTCCCAGGGAGGCAGAAGGAAGGGCCTGAGAAGACCTGGAGATCTCGCCCACCTTTCCATCTTTAGTGAGCTGAGGGTGCACTCGGCCGAGCTGAGAATGTCTCCTGCAGGAGACACCAGCAGTGTAGGCACATGCTGGGAGCAGGGACGATGTCCAGGATTGGACCTGCATGGGCTATGCAGAGAGAGTGCCGCGTGGTGTGCCACATGGGTGGTGAAGATTTAACCATGTTAGTGGGCATGCCTGGTGAAGACTTACCATGTTAGTGGGCATGAGGCAGAGAGGGCATCACTGGTGTGCTCTGGGGAGTCCTGTCAGGAAGAAGGGATGAGGCCGAGCAGAGGAGAGGCCTGGGCAGGAAGCTGAGCACTCAAACTGGACGTGGCAGGCCTGCCGGGCAGGGCCAGGGCAGCTGCTGAGCGAGAATGTGGCTGGGGCACAGGCTCCAGGTCCCCCCGAGTAGACACACTTACCTCTCTTCTAGCTCTTCAGTGGTTCACGTGCCTGGGGTGAATGACATTCAGTCCTCCTCATCGACGGGCCAGAACATGTCCCAGATCTCCCGGCAGCTGAGCCAGAGTCAGGCTGCATGGACAGGGAGCCGTCCACCCTTCCCAGGACAGGTATGGCCCGGGGTCCCAGAGTGCAGAGCACTTCGATGTGCTTCAAAGGGCCCCGACTACCCAACAGCAGCACTCACCCCAAGGGTGCTGAGAGTTGAGTCCCCAACCTGGCACCTTGTGTGGTTCTGGCAGCCTTGTCCTGAGGAAGCTGGCTGGAAGTGGGTAGGCCAGGATATACTCAGCAGGATGCATCCCAGGACTCTTGTAGCTCCTGGGAGGGAATATAGGCCTTGGTGGGTGAGGGAGCATGTGGTGTTCACTAGTGGATCAGAAAACCCAGGTCATAGGCCAGACTTGCCCTCAGTGTCCAAAGCCTGTGCCCAGCCAGCCCTGAGAGCCATGGGAGCCCCAGTTGATCCAATGCCACTGTGTGGGGCACCTGCAGGGACAGTTACCAGGGAACCGGGAGGAGGTGGCTGGTGATGCCTCATCCTGATGGCTGCAAATCCCTTCCCAGTCCAGTAAGACCCAGTCATCTCCCTTTGGAATTGGAACGAGCCACACCTACCCAGCAGACCCGGCTTCCTACAGTCCCCTCTCCAGTCCGGCCACCTCCTCGCCCAGTGGGAACGCCTACTCCAGTCTTGCCAACAGGACTCCCGGGTTCGGTAGGTCGGAGGGAGGAAAGTGCTCAGGGAGAACTACAGAATTGTTTTCTGGGCATTCTGACTTGGGGCCATCTGTGTGCTCAGAGTACTGGGACGAGGTTCTGAGGTTCTGGGCTTCTCTCTCTGGCCAAGAAGAGGAGGTGCATGATGCTCCTAAGGCCCTGGATGCTTAGACTTGGCTCTGTTATTGGATTTTATCATTTTTGAGGCATGAGGACCATGTCCATGTTCTGATAACATCTAACAGCTGTTGTCACCCTTTGTGTCCCTTGCAAAGACTTCAGGCATTGAAGTCAAAGCCCTGTAGTCTTGTCAGAAACTGGAAAGGGCAGCTGTCTCAGTAACACCATAAAGCTCTTTATTTAGTACTACAAGAGAGGGATCATATCGCATATGAGAACAATTTTCTCAGCTTCGTTATTAAAACCTCAGGCTCTCGAGAGTTCTGTGTCTGCTCCTCCTGGGCATGGCTTGGGGTCAGCATCTCTGCATGGGCCAGTGCTCCATGCTACAGAAGAGGGCCACAGTGCTGTCAGTAATGATACCCAACTGGAAAGCATGATGCTGAGCTCAGGCTTTCAAGTTCCACTTGGCAAATCACAAGTTTTAGTGCAAGTGCTTCTCTGTCAGCCTCACCTCTGCCTTCCCCTGCCACTGGCTGCGCTTCTGCCCTCATCTGGGGCCTGGGCTCAGTACTTCCTGTCCTCTGTTCACCCCTGAGATCCTCATCCTCCTGCATGTGTAGCTCAGTGACGCTGAGGTGAGAAACGGAAGGAAGGAAGGAAGGAAGTAAGGCAGTAAGGAAGGAAGGAAGGAAGGAAGGAAAAAAGGAAGGAAGGAAGGAAGAGGCCTTTACCAGGCGCTCAGGTCAGCCGAGCTCTGGCTCACACCATCCAAGGCCAAGGTCCTGGCTTCCCCCATCCACTGTCACACACAAGAACACACCCTGCGCCTGACCATTGCCTGGGTGGCAAGCCCTTTTGGCCTCCTCCCAAGAGGGTTCTTCCCGAGGTGATCTTCAAAGGGTTGGGCACTTCAAAGGTGCCTGGGCACTGACTTATTCTGACTCAGCAAGGCCTGCACGTGACTTGGGTCCTGCATAGAAGCAGAGTAGGCACTGGCACAGTGCACACCCAGAGACAGGCACAGGCAGGTCAAGGGAGGCAAGCACAGTCATGAATCCCTCTCGTGTGCCTGGGAGCCTCTCATCAGGCCTTCGATGTGGTGGCCAGGGCACACCGGCTCCAACCATTTCGATTCATTTCCTGCTCTCATAGCCCCAAGAGAGGAATGCCGTTATCACTCTCATTTCACAGGTAACTAGACCAAGCCCAAGGCCTCATAGAGTAGTCATGCATGGGGGCCATCATCAGGAACTGTGCCCAGGACTGCCCAGAGCCCTTCCAGCCAGTAGGACCTCAGAACTGACACAGCCTTCATCTGCAATATGAGGAGGGGGTTGGAGCCCTGCAGGGAGGCCTGAGGACAGGCCAGTGTGCCGTGGCCTCGTGTAATTCCCCATGTGGGTTGGACAGAAGTAGTGTGAAGGGAGGATGCAGGAGCCAGACTGAGAGGAAGGACAGAGCTGTGGGGCAGTGGACAAGGTGCCCTCATGCCTGGCTGGCCTGTCCTCTGATGAGGGGGACTCTGGAGGGTAGAGAGGGGCATGGACTCCATACTGGGCAGATGGGGGACCAGAGTAGAGGATGCTGGAGCTAGGGTCAGCCAGCTCCATAGGGTATAGGACAGTGAGTCCTGGGCAGAGTTGGGAGAAAAGTGTCCAGGAAGAGGACTGAAGGCATAGGGTCCGGCAGGGAGCTTCAGGGTGAGACTCACCAAGTGGGTGCCACCAAGCGTCATTCCATGAAGGTTAAATTAACTGTTAAAACAGTAGTATGTACATTGGCAGTGGGCACAGGCCCTCACTCTACATATGCCAGTGCTGTTGTGGGTACAGCTGGGCTCCCAAATGTGACAGAGCCCCAGGGGACATGATCCCGCTGGTCAACCTCTTCAGGCACTGGAGCCCAGAGATGCAACAACCAGTCCTGCCCCATGGTCTGGCTGGCTGGTTAGGCGACATTCACTTATTAGAGAAGCCTTGCCAAATGTCACTCAGTGACAGCCCAGGGGTGACATCGTGGGCCAGGTGGCATAGATGTTACCTTAGGCCAGTATATCAGCAGCAGCCAGAGTTCACGTGCTGAAGATGGAAGGGGCCACGCCTGAATCTGAGCCTCCTGTGTCCTGTGCACTGGTTTTTACCTGAGCGTTTCCTCCACTTGGGTCTCCTGAGGTCCTGAGCTACCCAGTGTCACAGTATTAGCCTCACTTTCATTTTGGCTTGAGTCACAGCAAACACTGGAAGCCGGAAGCTGAAGTCGGAAATTACATGACCATGTGTCCTATATCCCCTGGACTGGTGAGCCCTGACTAGCTCAGGTGTTTATCTTTATGACCATGCAGGGGAACAGTGTGTACCTACCAGGCTGCATCAGAAGACAAGAACCAGGGGCTGGGGATTTAGCTCAGCGGCATAAGCGCCTGCCTTGCAAGCAGGCAGTCGTGAGTTCGATCCCTGGTACCGATAAAAAGGAAAAAGGAAAAAGACAAAAAATAAATAAATAAATAAATAAATAAAGAAGACAAGAACCACCCTAGTGACTTGAAGGGGGAACTTTAGGAAAATCTGGTAGAGAGGAGCCTGAGGTATACAGGAATAGCCAACATAAGCAGCAGCTTCCAGGTCTAAAGCAGAAGGGGAGTACCCAAGAACAGAAGTAAGACCTTGTAAGAGGAGACCCAGGCCTGTAAGGCCTAAAGCTCAGCCTTGATTAGGAAGGCTCGGCTGCCCCCCCGGACACAGGACTGACTAGCAGTGTGCAGAGGCACCAGCTGCAGCTGACCTCAGGGGTGCATGCCCACTGGCTGAGCTGATCTCTAGAAGGTGCAAGTGGCTAGAGCCTGTAAACACGACATACCAGCAGCCCAGAGTCACCCATTGGTGGAGGACAGTGCCTGCAGCTGGACTGGAGGCAGCTCTCTGGTGGCAGAGAAATGGTGAAGAGTGAGTGTTCTGGAGCACCTGCCCACTGCTGTTGAAGAGAAAAGTCAACTGGACTAGGAAGAGAAGCTACTTCCTCAGCGGTACCTATCTCTCCAGCGCTCTCCATCGACTGCACCTAATATTGCAAAAGATGGCACAGAAGCATTTATAGCAAGGATCCCCAACTCCAGAGTCATGGACCAGTACCAGACTGTGGCCTATTAGGAGCCAGCATGAACAGCAGGAGGTGAATGGTGGTCCAGTGAGTGAAGGTTCATCTGTGTTTACAGCCACTCAGTATTGCTCAAATGATCACCTGAGCTCTACCTGTCAGTTCAGTGGTGACGTTAGAGTCTCACAGAAGCTCAAACCCTACTGTGGAGTGCACGTGCAAGGGGTCCAGGTGCATGCTTCTTATGAGAATCCAGTGCTTGGTGATCTGAGTGGAGCTGAGGCGGTGATGCTAGTACTAGGGAGCAGCTGCAAATCTTGATGAACATTAGCAAAGGTCTGACTGCACAGAGACCATAATAAATAAATGAGTTGCAGACTCAGATCAAAACCCTACTGGTAAGTGGAATGTAACAATGGAGCTGCATCTGCTGGCAGGTTGTATAGGTGCGAGTGAGTTGATGTGCTTTCGTTCTACAGCTGCTTGTCACAGCAGGCTTTATGCCAGAATCTAACACTGATTAATAATTATTATAATCCAGCCTGCCCATTATTTTATTTACTACTTTCATCGAGTCCCCTTCCTGAACTGTGCACTTGTTTTAGTCACAGTTTTTGATAAGCCCACAAACTAACTTTAGCCAAAATGGGTAAAATATAAACAGTGCTGGAAAGCTTGAAAGGAAGGAAAGACATAATAATGAGACAGAAGACTCTGAGACTGCCAACAACAACAAAAAAGCTGCATTTAAAAGAAAATATCAAAGGTCTGACTTACATCATGGATTTGCTGCAGTAGGTTACTTACATTCTCCAAACCTGCTTTGTGCAATAACGTGACAATTGGCTATTCAGAGAAGCCACAAAAACATCAAAGCTGCTTCTCAACAGGAAGACCAAGCATGCCACACTGAAAGTTCTTAGAGTTTTTCAAAAGGAAATAACTGTGAGCATGAGGAACAGACAGTTATTGAAGACCACAACTTCATTGAATGTGTCTGCACTGAGAGCATCATTCTTAGCAGCAACAGCATTGGCAAAACTAAGAAACTCTTTACTGTTGGTGAAGAGTTGATCCTGCCTGATGCTGAGGACATTTGTCATGAACTTTTAGGACAGGCTTCAGTTCAAAAGGTGATACCTGTTTTTCTTCTGGCCAGCCACACAACTAGACAATTTGATGAAACAGCAGAAGATCTTGGGGCATAGTTGTTAGAAATGATTAATACTCACTGTGGTATGAATTCTACACTGATGAGTCTATCAATGTAAATTCTTAATGATAAAAAAACAGTGCTTCTTTTTGTGCAGTATATTTTTCAGGAGGAGGTGTATAGGGACATGTTATGTGTGTTTTTATTGCCACCAACACCACAGCTGTGGAACTATTCATGTCTTTGAATAATTACGTATCAGGAAAAGTGAACTGGCCATTTTGTGTTGATATATGTATGGAAGAAGCAGCTGCCATGACTGGACAGCTATCTGGTTTCAATTCTCACGTCAAAGAAGTTCTTCTGGTGCTTCTGGTCACTGATGTGGTGGTGCACACCTGTAATCCTGGCCTTTGGGAAGCTGAGCCAGGAGGATCACCGTGAGTTTGAGGCCAGCCTGGGCTACATAAGTGAGTTCAAGAGCAGCCTGCATTACATAGTGAGACCTGTCTCAAAAAAAAAAAAAAAAAAAAAAAAAAAAGGAGCTTGTAAGCCTATATACACTGTGTCATGTATAGAGAAGTGCTGGCTACCAGAACAGTGTCACCTGAACTCTACAATGTTTTGGAGGATGTGACTAAAATTTTCAACATATTCATAAAGTATGTGCTGTTAATGTCTGTTCATGCAGCAGTTTGAGGAGATGGATGCAGAGCACAACATGGCTCTCTTGTACCCAGTGGCTTTCCAAAAGTTGATCACTGTCTATGGTTTCTGAATTAGGAGAGCACTCCAGAGATTTCTTTTAGAAAAACAGTCACTACTGGTAACACATTTCAGTGAGACAGAATGAACTTACTCAAGTGGCATATTTGACCTGCTCAATGAGGTCAGTCTGTCATTTCAGGGGAGAATGAAACTGTGTTCAAGTCAGTGATAAAGTGATGGCACTCAAAGCCAACTGGAATTGTGGGTATGACGAGTATTTTGATGTTTCAAACATTAGCAGACATTTTGAAAGAGACTAAGCTAGGGACTTCTTTCTCCCAGTTGGTGCATGAACCCCTATTTCAGCTCTCAAAATAATATGAGCATTACTTCCTAACCACAAAAGACCCTAAACTGGGAAGGAATGGTCTGCAGCCCATTTATGAGTAAGGCAGGTGAATCAAATTTGTTCATGCTGGAAGAGGATTTTTTATTTATTTGGAAAAGGATTGACTGCTTGAGATAAAAAATGAATGTGGTCTTAAAAGTATGTTTGTGATAATTTTAAGCCTTCATGGCTTTTGAATTAAAGTCAAGGAAGAGTATCCTGAGATTGCCCCCAAATCACTAAAAAGCCTGCTTCTATTTTTAACATCCTATCTTTGTGAAGCAGGATTTTCTGCAGTGACAGCAACCAAACTGAGCTTAGGCTGGACATCAACAACACACTTCAGGTGTCACTGCCTACCGTCACCTTCAGATGAGGGCATCTAGTTACTGGAAAACACCGAGCCAGCATTGTAGTTGAATTGCATAATTAATTATATTTTACAATGTAATAATAATAGAAGTAAAGCATATAATAAATGTAATGTACTTGAATCATCCGCAAACCACCTCACCCCATCATGGAAAAATCATCTTCCTCAAAACTGGTCCTTGGTGTCAAAAAGTTGGGAGCCACTGGTTTACAGGATCACAAAGCAAACCTGAAGGGGGGATTTAGAACCGTGTGGCAATCAGCTAGTAGCTAGCAAGAGTGCATTCGGTCTGTATCCCCAGATGTCAGCCTGTCTATCTGATTTGCTCACCGATACCGCATTTCTTGTAGAAATGCAGGAAACCAAGCACAAAGTTCTGGGACACAGAAGTGGCCCCGAGGTGTGACAGAGGCCAGGTTTTCATCCCCTGACTTGCTATAAGTAGTGCAGTGCTTCCCTAGCAGCGTGCTTGCTTCCAGTACCAGCAAGCACAGACGTGTCCACGCCTTCCTAGTCAGGTGCTTCAGTTCAAGACGAGGTAGCTAAAGCGGCTCATTCATGCATGACACAAAGCAAGTCAGATCACAGCAGATGAACTGAAAGAGCAAGAAACATCCATGACGTGGCCCTTCCTTAGAGAACCACGCCCACCTGGCCTGCCTCACCTGGCCAGGCTGACTCCAGAAGGAAATGGAGGAATGTGTTTGGCCATTCTCCCGGTGAGAATTAGGGTGCATCAGGAGAGCAGAGCAGGAGGGCAGCAGCTTGGAGATCTGGGGATCCGACAGTTGCAAACGAGACTTTCTGTCTCTTCTGGATAGTGCTGGGAAGGAGGGCAGGAAGTCTGGAGAATCCTGATCTTTGCTGAGACGTGCCCAGAAGGCATTTATAAGGGAATGAACTTTCCTTCTGGTGTCTCCATTGACTTCATCTCAACCTTTACACTGTAGACTTTGGTGCTGGATCATTCTTTGTTGGGAAGGGCAGTCTCTTTATTGTAGGGTGTTTAGCATTATTTAGAACAATAAGAAATGTCTTCACACATTTCCAGATGTCCGCCCAGGGCTAGCACAGTCATCTTGGCTGAGATACTGAGCTAAACCCAATCCCATAGCCCGCTCTGAGCAGGATCTCAAATGAGCTTGAGTCTTGGAGTGATTTCTAAATCAGCTGAGGCTCACAGGGAAAATGTTGCCTACGAAGAGTGAAACTACAGCATCAAATGTCAGTTAAAAGAAAGCAAAATGCCACCCCTGCCTCCACTGTAACATAGGAAAGCACAAACTCTTCAGGATTCTGGCCCAGGTTCTGGAAGCTCACCCAGCTGGCCCAGCTGGTAGCTGCTGTAATGCAATCTACGAGGACACCCTGCCTGGTTGGTGGCCTGGGCATCCAGCCACAGTGGCAACAGCCTAAGTTTTGTTCAAGAGCCACACCCCAAGGAACTCATGCAACTACACACATGGCCTTTGGATGTCAGAGACTATGGGACTCCTTCTAGAAGTAAATCTGTGTATGCATCACCACCTGACCATGTCTGTCAGTGCTGCAGGTCACCAGGTGGTCGTTCTGCAGGTCACTCTTGTTATCTCGTCAGAGACATCACTGATCCTGTTCAGATAAAGTCTTTCAGTGCCTCCTGGCTGGGGCTGGTTCCCCAGTGGAAGCCTATGGGAGTAGTGGGCTCAGATCTCAGGCTGCGACAGGGAACGGTACCCCCTCCTGCACTTCACAGAACCCCCCGGCTGTCCTCGTCATGAAGAGGGGTTACTCGGGAGTGTGTGTTGTACTGAAGCCCTTCGTGTCTCAGGCAATGTGTGGGGTGTGGGGGTTGACTTGCCCCTTCTGGGCACTATGGGCTTACCTCGTGGTAACTGGGATGGGAGGGCTGTGGGGGAGGTTTGCCTGTGGTTGGCGTGGCTCTGGGAAATGGCAGACCTGGCAGGATGGAGAGCCCACTGCCCCTCTGATGAACACTGGCCAGGGATTTAAAGTGGGAAAAGTTCCTAAGCTGTTTGATGTGCCTTACTGTATCCTCCCTAAAAGGCTATTTTTCCTTAAGAATTCTTTGGTTACATCTCAAAGATATTTTAGACCAAATTCTACTCATTTTCCTTATTTTCTGTTGTCTCATTTGGGTGTTTTTCATACACTGTAGACAGAAGCGAAGTACTCTCATTCATAAATTGAGTTGCTGACTCTCCCGGAGGAGCTCACCATCCCTATGAGCAGTGCCTGGTCTTTCCCTCACAGGCGACACAGAAGCCCTTGGCCAGGGCCTGGCAGGAGAGGGCTGAAGGTGCCTCAGCAGGGCCTGGGGGACATTGGGCAGCCCAGCTGGAGTGAGTGATCGTGTGCGAGGCTTGTGGTTCTCAGGAGCCCTAGGGGACTGTTGCCTGGGTAGGGTCACTGGAGAGAGGCCCAGGGCAGGGGCATCTGGAGGACAGCACTGCCCTGTGAGGAGGGGGCTTCTTGCGTCCTCTGTGGAACCCACGAATGTCCTACTGTCCGGGTCTCCTCAGAGCAAGGCCTCTGTGAGTGACCACAAAAAGTGTGGGAGCCTCTGCCGTTTGGAAGACACACGTGGCCACCTGGTGGGTGTGTCCCGTGGAGAGCAGAGGACTCTAGGTCTCTCCCACCCACGTGGTTCATGGTCTGTCAGTCAGGGTAGGTGGGAGGGCTGCTCTGAAAGGATGGGGAGTCTCTGCTGCGGGAACACAGTGGGGTGGAGTGCTGCTGGTTGCAGGAAGAGGGAACCCAATTGGGCCCTCTGAGCCACAGTGGTTCTTAGGTGTCATGGAGCCAGGGGTGGCTTTTAAGGCAGTGTCCTATGCATCGGCTCTTTCAGCTGAGAGTGGACAGAGCAGCGGGCAGTTCCAGGGGCGGCCTTCCGAGGTCTGGTCACAGTGGCAGAGCCAGCATCATGGGCAGCAGAGTGGTGAGCAGCACCCCCACCAGCAGCCTGGCCAGACTGAAGTGTTCCAGGTAAATCGAGCGAGCACCGCCTTCTCCTAGGTACCGGCGCCTTCTCTCTGCTTCCTTTCCCCCTCATCCTGCCGCACACCGCCTGCCCCTAGTGAGCCAGCACACATTCTGGCTGCCCTGGGGTAAAGGGAGGCAGGAGTAGAAGGCCCTGCAGGTACCTGTGGGCGACACACAGGGGAGGCCAAGCCAGGAGACCCTCCCTGCCTAGCACCAGGGCTTCCTGGAAGGCTGGGGGAGCAGAGGCTGCGGGCCTCCTGGCTCTGGTGAGTGCACAGGCCTAGAGCTCAGGGCCCTTGGCTGAGATAGGCCACACCCAGGACAGGCCAGCAGGCCCTAGCTTGGCTCCTCCTGGGGTTAGACTTGAGATGGTCACTGATGGAGGCAGGCCTGGTTTCCTCTGTGCATGGGACAGACTCAGGCAGTGGGAGTGGGCACTGCCCTCACCCCAAGTGCTTCAGCTCCTGTTTCAGCAAGAATGCTTTCCCTGGAGGGTCTGGGCAGGCTGTGAGCTGGGTGACCCTCAGCTACAGCCCAAAACTCTGTCCCAGTGCAGGGTGCACAGGGAAGGGTCACATCTGAGCCACTCAGATCACTTCTTCCTTCCTGAGGGCCCATGCCTCCATTGTCTCATCCTCATCATAGCTGTCCTGAGGGCAGGGCAAGAGCATCCTCATAGAGGAAGTCCTAAGCCAGGTGCCCATCAGGAACCCACCAGGACAGCATCCTCTTCAGTGTAGAGGAGTCCTGGCCCGGCCCCTGGCTCCTCCCCTGCACAACTGGAACTCCTTAGGGACCTACCCTGCATAGCCTCCTTCCTTGGGGACCTACCAGGCAGAATTTCCTAACCAGGGTCACCATGCTAAAAAGAATTCTTGGTCAAATAAGTTTATGAGACACTGGTTAAACAGAGTTACTCAGTTTTTTTCTTGCGGAGCATATCAGAACCTTTATTATCCCAGTGCGGCCTGGAGTGCTGGGAGGTAGCTGAGTTTGTTTCCCAAGCTTATTTGTCCACAAAATTCTTTTCTCACGGACCATCACAGGAGCTGGGCTTTGACAGAACACCCAGTGAGACTTTGGGGATTGCCGCTCCTGTTTTCTGGACGGATAATTTGAGTCCAGAGCATCTGAAGGACTTGCAGAGCTGCAGGCTGACCCCAGGATGTAGCCCTGCCCTGAGATCTCTGCAGTCCCGCTGTGCCCACTGGCATTGCGTTTCTGTTGTGTATTGCTCTTTGCGTGGTTTGGGACTGGGTCTCCTGCTCACTTTGTTTCCCGGTCCAGTGATTCACCTGTTGCCCCACTAGTCCCCAAAGCAGTCCCCAGGAACCCCTGCCATGCAGGCTGGGAGTTTTCCCTGCCACCTGCTAGACAGATGGCTGCAAGGGTGAGTGGTGGGTGGGGCTTGGGGATGTGCCTGGTTTTCAGGGCGAAAACACTGACCCCTGTGGCTTGCTTTCTTTTCTTCCGCAGGACATGCTGCCCATGCCAGGAGATCCGACCCAGGGGACTGGCAACTATAACATCGAGGACTTTGCCGACCTAGGCATGTTCCCGCCCTTTTCTGAGTAGCTCTTGGGCAGAGCGAGGCTCCCTGTACAGGGCCACGATGGTTCGACATCAACACCCAGCTTGCCCTGCCACAGGACCCCACTGCAGTGCCCCTCCCCCCGCGCTCCCCCAGGCCTGGTACTGCTTGGCTCTCACCGCAGCTGTGGCTTCTCTATCGCTACTGACCAACCCTGCTGGGTGTGGGGCTTGGTTGTATTTATTGTATTCTATCTGTACGCGCTCTCCGGCCCTCAGATGTAGCTACAAATATCCCTTGGTCGGCACTGTGCACCTTGAGAAGCTTGATGCCCAGAGCAGCAGTGGGCCTGCCTGGGGTGCCAGAATCTGGCTTCTGCTTGGTTTTCACAGCTGGTGGCTGCTGGCCGGGTTGGGTAAGGGGCAGACAGGGTCAGGGCCTTTGTCACGCCCTGGGGACTGGGAGAGGCCCACTGCCTGCTGCTGTGCCACTGGGTCTATTGTGACGTGGATGTTTGTGCTTTGTGTGGTGAGATGTGAACTGTCTGTCCTGATGAGTGTGTTGTGCCTCGTGTCTGTCGTGTGTGGCCCGAGTGTGTGCACAGAAATGTGTAGCTCCTGCCCCTGCTCTTACTGAGGATACTGACACAGGCTGGCAGGGAGGTAGCTGACAGGCTGACCCCGGTGTCACCAGGAGCTGAGGCTGAGGACCTGCTCACTGTGAGGGGTCAGTTCTTCAGTCTGGGCTGCTGCTTCGGATCCAAGCTCCTCTGCAGGGGAAGCAGCCCTTCCCCCTTCTCAGAGCCTGAAGGTCACTGTCTTCTCTCACCGACAGCAGGGACAGGACACCTGGCTTCCTGGGTTGCACCCTGTAGTGGGAGGTCACTCCTATGTGGAGAGGGCCTCCTGCCCTGTCCCCCAGTGAGGATACAGTGCAGCTCTGTGTGGCAGAGGACTGGCTCCAGCTCTGTTTGTAACTCTGTTCCTGCCACATACTCATCAGGGCTCTGAGTTCTCAGCAGTCTCAAGACAGGAGCACTGGCTGACTTCTAGATGCTTCTGTCTGCTGCCTGCAGAGCCCAAGGGCCCTGGCTCGTGGTGTTTCATTTTCACAGACCCTGTTTTCTCTACTTCCCTCATTTACTTCTTTTCCCACTGGTCACCTCATTCTCTCACACCAGCCCCTCCACCTACTGATGCCCATGTGGGAAAGAGGGCCACCCTTCGAAAAATCCTGGGGTCCCTCCCAGAGTCCTTGTGAATACTGCACAGCATTGTGTCCCTGCCCATGGGTCCCCAAGATCAAGGAATGAGTGAGTGGAGGGAGCCCCAGGTACAGGGAGGAGCTCTGCACTGTCAAAGGCCTGCCTTCTCTGAGCTGTCAAAAGCCAGCCTCCCCAGCAGGATGCCCTGCCCCAGGACCTGGCCTTCTGTGATCCCAGCTCTGAGACTGCCAAGCCTGGCACTGCAGTCTCTAGCACAGCTTTTAGTCTTCTTGTAAATAGTGGTGACTGGGTCCTGAGTGTAGATGTAGGTGTTTGCTCGATCCTCAAAGGAGCTGTTGCCTCTGGGGAAGTGGAGTCACCACAGGCAGCCCCAGCTCAGGTTTCTGGTGCCACCCAGCACCATCTCAGTGCCCAGCAGCCTTGGGCTTGCCCTGAGCAGTGAGCTTTATCCTCCTCCCAAAAAGGCACAAAAATAGCCTTTGGAGCGAAGAAGTGTTCTTAATGAGAAGGAGTAGACTGCGTGTGGCCTTTAGCTTGTGAGTTTGGAGGTTCATTTTTGCCCTCTGTATGGCAGAGGACAGTTAGTTGGGTGATGCCAGAGAGCAGCCAACCGTGCTGCTACGCTGCTGGTCCGTGCTAGACCCAAGGCATCCGTAACCAGCAGAGAGGACCTACTCTGGCCACCTCCCACCTGTGCCTCCGACCTTAACAGGAGGTCAGGTTGCCTGGGCCTGCGATTTGTAGCCCAAGGAGAGCTGTGACCGCTGAGTCTGACTTCCTGCCTCCCCGCCTTATCCTGGGAGCAGGGTCTGATGGCAGGTGTGAGTCCTATGTCTTTTCTGTCCCCCACTCTGTATTTAGTGGTGATTCTCAGAAACTGTCCTGTGGCCAGTAAGAAAGTAGACCAGGGGTGACAGCGAACAGTCCAGGACTGGGAAGAGCCCATAGAGGGCCCTGAGGCACAAAGGGGAAGAGCATAGCCCTGAACTGCAGGCTTGGTGTCCTGGTTTGGAAAAGAGCCCCCACACCATCCTGCTGGCCCAGGAGGCCAGTACCACCCTGCCAGGATGGGTCATTGCCAGGGGGAGGGGAGGCTCCTGGATTCCTGTAGTAGTGAGACGCCTCCACATTCCCAGATGTGCCCTGTTCTTCTCAGGCTGAGAGCTATACCATGGCTACTATCAATGAGGACACACTGAGGTGCTACCAGGACTGGCCATGATGGTAACAGTGGCCGGGATGGTTCTAGAGCATGCTGCCCACAGGTCCCTCTGCCCTGGTTTGTTGTTAGCTCTGTTCAGGCAGTGAGAGTCTGTCACAGGTGACACATTGTCCTCCACTTCCCAATACAACAGTTCGGCCTTCTGGTTATTTCATGAGTAGAGAACAGTGCAGAGTGGGGAGTGCCGGTCTCTAATAGAGCTCACCCTAGGATACTTAGGTCTGCTGTGTCAGTACAGTGACTGTGTGTCCCCTAATTAGCCATGCTTGTGGGTAACAGTGCTGTGACCAGCCTGGCACAGGAGGAGGCAGGCCCCAGGCAGCAAGGAAGGCTCCCTGTCCTGCACACAAGGGGCAGCCATGAGCCCATGTGAGAGCCAGGCATGCTCGCCCATTGGAGCCATCTGCTCGTAGCAGTTACCGCCTGACACTTAATCAGGAACCAGCCAGGTGCCAGTGATAGAACTGATATGCTCTTTGTATGACTAGAAAGGGAGCTGGTTAGGATGTGATTGGGTCCTAATCTTCAGAGGTCCAACTTCTCCATCTCTGCCAGATCCCATGCACCAGGATCCGTAAGCAGTTTGTCTGCCTTCTCCCCGCCCAGGCTCCAGGGGACCTTGCAGGGCATGTGCACGTTTTTGCACCTTGCACGCCTGGGTCTCATGGCTGGAGCTGCTTTATGGTCCAGCAACCAGCCAAGGCCTACAGGGCACCAGCTAGCAAAACAGAAGCTTGACAGGTTGGGCCGGAGCAGAGCAGCTTGCTTCATCTAACAATCGGTTTTCTTAAAAAGATTTCACAAGCAGGCTTCAGTGGACAACAAGCAATCATTACACTCTTTACCTTTCTTCTTATGGATGTGAACTGTGCTGTGGATAAATCATCATTTGTATTTCTTGAATGTTCTCCATGACTAACAGTTATTAAGTCGCTGTGTATATGTGTAACTAATGTAACTGCCTCTGAAATTTTCATTACAATAAAAATGACTTTGCTGCGCACCAGCTTTGTAATGTACTTACTCATGGAACCTGCCCTCGAGGTTGGGCGCATCCGGCGTGGTCCCCTTACTAAGCCACTCTGTCCGAGTCACTAGGTGGTAATGGGCCATCTTTGGGGTTCTAGGGACTTAGGATGGAAGAGAAAACTAACAATTCTTGAGCGCCTAGGTAAGGAAAAAAAATTTTTTTTTTTTTGTCTTTTTCCTTTTTATCAGTACCCAGGACCGAACTCACGACTACCTGCTTAGGAAAAGCTCTTTAGGAGCTTCTTTGAAAATACTTCTGTTTTAATCATTATAGATCTGCGAGCTGGGACTACTACTCCTGGCTTATGGATAACTGGCAAAGTGGCTTCTCTGAGAATGCACAGAAGGAAGTGATGAACACAGGGCCTGACCCTGGGTCTCTCTCCAAAGCCCTGTCGATACATTATCTGTTTCAAACACTCATTATTTTTTAAGTACTGAAGAATTAAACTGGTGTCTTAATTTAACCCTAGTAAACTAACAGATTCTAATTTTTCTCTTGAAAGAGGACTATGTGAAGACTCTTCCATCAAACATTTAACATTGTTTTACAGCTTTACTGACTGATTACAGACATAAAATACACATATTTAAAGTGCACAGGAAAAAAAATGGATGTGGACAGCTTGAATGCTACACCAAACGTAACCCATCAAAAAAAGTAAATTGACAAACTGAATGCCATAAAAGACAAAGATTTATTTCTCAAGTGGTAGTTTTAAGAGAATGAAAAGATAAGTCACTGGCTAGGGTGGGGGGACAATGCAAATCATATCTAAAGAATATTTAAAATTTAATGACAATTTAGCACAAAATAGGCAAAAATATTTAACATATACATTCAAATTATACCGCAGAAGATGTGCAGAGGCCAGGAAGGTGCAGTGGTGCCTAGCAATGGCTGCAGCTACTCCAGTGGCTGAGCCAGGAAGATCACCTGAGCCCAAAGCTGAGGCTACCCTGAGGGACATAGCAGGAGTCTATCTCAAAAATTACATAGAGGGCAAATAAGCACATGAAAGTAATGATTAATAGTATTAGTCATCAGGGGAATACCAAGGAAAAGCTCGACGAGATAGCATTCTAACATTTGACTAAAATTTAGCAAGTGTTGTTCAAGATATGAAAGAAGTAGGAGCTCTCAGGAGCAAAGTGGTGCTGCCCGGCTGCTGTGCAAACAGTTCAAAGGTTTCTTGTGAAGTTAGACATCATTTGCTCTGTCACTTGGCCTTCCCGGTGCAAATCTTTTGCCCAGTGGAGACAGAACACAGGTCCTACACAAAGACCTTGCAGGAATCTCCATTGCAGCCTTATGCACAATCACCAGGGATGAGCAGCAACCTAAGTGCTCACACACAGGGTGGATGAGCAAAGCCTGCATGCGTGGCCACATGATCGAACACTGCTCTGCTGCAACAGCAAACAGTGTAGACAGAAGCAGCAAACAGGAGACACAAAACAGGCACTGAGCAGAGCAGAAGCCAGGCACATAGAGTGAGCGATCGGATTCTGCAGAATCCAGGAAAGCCAGGCCCACCCTGACTGGGACAGAAAGAAGGATGGGGGACAAAGGCTGAGATGACAGCAAGTCCCAATTGAGTGATAGAAAGTGTACACAGAGGACAAAATACGTCAATCCGTTCACTCAAGAAGAGCATGTTAAACTGCAGCGTGCTCAGATTTTATCCAAATAAAGACAGGATTCAAATAATCAGCTGAGTTTTTGATAGAATGCATCAAGATGACCCCAAATTTCCTATGGAATAAAAAGGAAACATGGTAGGCAATATATTTTACTGAATGAGATTTAAAGAGGAGAGAAAAAAGGAAGAGGAAAGAGAGCAAGTAGTCATCCTACCAGAGAGTGGGAGGTTTCATAATGGAAATTGTGGGCTTGATACAGAGGTAGAAACAAGATCAGTAGAACACAGCAAAGTCCCTAGACATCCGCACACATCAGGAAGAAGTCTCGTTGGGAAGAGGTGGTGTCAATAATTACAAAACGGTTCTCAATAAACAGTGTTGGGGGCACATACCCAGGAAAAGAAATGATGGTGTGCTTGTCTTAAAGTATGAGGCATGATTGAAAACGATGGTGAGTGCTTATGTTTTTTAGTTTATTACCGTAGAAGACATCGCCATTAATCCCACTCAAAATACTGCCTCTTGGTTCAAAGGTGCCATCATTCTCGCCACTTGATGGCAGTTGGCAGCAACATTCACTGTATTTTTGATCATACCTCAAACGTGAAGACTTCTAGGACTGCTCTACAGGAGACAAGAACGATGGGGTAAGTGTGCTCAGGTGAAGGGAGGATTCTGAGGGGGATTCCTGGCCATGTGTAATGTGATACATTTTTTACTGTAATAAATTTTAAAAATTTAAACATTCACTTAATTGCAATCACCCCTCTGTACAAAAAATGAATTATACACAGGTGAAAACATCTCAGTGTTAACAGTAATATATGTAGGGCATTTGGGGCAAAAATCTTGGAAAATATATTTATCAAATCATTAGTAAAGATTTCTTAACCAAGGAACAACGATAATGATGAAGTAAAATATTGATAAGCTAGAACTCAAAGCCCAACTGAAAAATGTAAAAGAAAGCCAGTTAACTGGTAGAAAACATTTGAAATTTGTATACCCAACAGAATAAATAGTATTCAGAATATATGAAGGATTTTCACAATCAATTTTTAAAAATATGTCTCAATGGATAAACAAAGTGTTTGAGTTGTCAGTTCCTACATACTTAAATGACATTAATTTTGCCAGAATTAATTGAACTGTATTGGCAATCAAGGGAGATGACAAATTAAAACAAAATAACTGTTACTCAGATTAAGTCTGCAAACATAGCTGTTGATGGGGAGAGGGAGAAATGGGCACTCTTTCTAGGTGTGTGTGTGTGTATGTGTGTGTGTGTGTGTGTGTGTGTGTGTGTGTGTAACTGATTGATTGCTAGGAGTGCCCTGGGTGTATCAGGAATGTCAAAGCCAGGCAAACCCTGTGACATGGAATGTAACTCCAGGAAACTTCTCACAGGTGCAAGGGGAGACTTTGAGTTAATCTTGATGGTTAACTTGATTGGTTAGATAGACATATGAATCAGTGAAGCACAATTTTAGGTGCATCTGACTGGGTCATGAGTGCGTGACCTTTGGACTATATCCGGTCCCTGGACCTGTCTTCTTTGGGATTTACTCTGTACTTTGCTTCTTGGCCACCATGAAGTGAGCAGCTGTGAGCCCTTTCACTGTGATGTTCCTGCCTTGGACCAGCGGACCATGCACTGATACCTCTGATATCACGAAATTAAATCTCTTCTCTTTTAAGTTACAGGTGTCAGGTGTTTTGTTCCAGCAATGGGAAAGCTAACTAATACAGACACATATACAAGGATATTCCCTGCTCTGTTAGCAACAGTGAAAAACTGGAAAGCTATGTTTAGTAGAGAAATGAACAAACTGTGATCCAGTCATATGGAGGAACCTAGTACAGCATTTAAAAGAACTTGATGCAGAATTCTAGAAGTATAGCATTGAATTGAAAATGATGTGCATATTTTATAACTCAAAGTACTAATATATTTTGTTTGTGATTAGATAATTTTTAAAACTCCTAGATAGATATACCCAACGCTGGAGAATAGTTTGCTAGAGAAAAGAAACGGGCAAGCGATTGACAGGCTGAATTCCTCAAAACAGATTCAGAGAGAAAGGAGGAGAGAGAGCAGAATTGGCAGAAAGTAAAGGGAACAGGACAAGCATCTGAAGCAATTACGATAAACTGCTAAGCCGCTGCCTCGCCCCAGGACTGCCCATATGGGCGCCTGTTAGGTGTTCCTCAAATCTGCCACTTAAGGAAAATATTTGATAATTGAATGAGAATCAGAAGGCAGATAATTCAGTCTCACACATAGAGAAATGCAAATTAAAGTCACAGCAACTTGACATTTCTCACACCAATGGGCTGGCAAAAGGAGTTTTTTTTTTTTTTTTTTTTATCGGTACCAGGGATCGAACTCATGGCTGCCTGCTTGCAAGGCAGGCGCTTATGCCGCTGAGCTAAATCCCCAGCCCCCAATTACAAAGCTTTTACAACTGTCTTTGACAATAATGTGGCAGTATCTACTAAATTAAATAAAACTGTATTTTCAGCTACCTCACTTCTAAGATCCATCCCCATGCAATTTTGTACTGGGGAACAATTGTAAATGAAAGCCCACTGATAAAGAAGTGAATGAAAAATTGGAAAACACCCTTATCGTTACCTCAAAATCTTAACAAATACAGGAAAAGTATAAATAATATTAATCTACTTTGATAAGCCAAACACATCCAAAGCATGATGTGTAGATTCATTGTGAGCTCCCATGCATGAGTGCATGTAGAAAGTGTGTGAATTTTTCATACCAGGTTGTGTTTGGAGAGAAGTGAATTGTCACATAGACTGTGGAAGCAGAGAGAATAAGCAAAAATGAAAATAAATATAATATTGCATTTATATAAAATTACTCATGTGCTCATTTATATGCATAAAAGATGTATAAAAATATTTTCATGCTAGTCTCCATGGAGCCTGACAATTTCCCTTTCATTCGTGTAGCTTTTAGTATAACTTACTTTGCAAGGAATACAATGTATATTAGTTATAAAGTCATAACAAGTAATAAAAAGCAAATTGCCTGCCAGAGTAAGAGGAAAATAAACGATCTGTCACTTTACTTAGGAATGTGCAGAATTTAGGTGTCAAAGGGCACAAAGGTGAAGCGTGATCCACGTGACCCCACTGCTCCACAGAAACAGTCCTGGACAGAGGGGAGGAGCACAAGTGCAGGCAGTGACACGCAGGGGGGGACAGTGTAACCAGGAGCCAAGCACTTGCTGGGACCTGGGCTGAGATTTCCCCAGACCTCCTTTAACTGAAACAGTCATGGACAACAAACAGAAAATCTGCTCTTTACGT